TAGCAGGCTACAGCCTCACCATCTCCAAGTGGGTTTGTGCTACTGCCCCTTTTCTTTGGTGGACGGGCTTGCCCAGAGTTAGTGTCTAAATAGTGCAAAGCAAGGGAACAAAGGGCCTCGGGCCATAGACTCCTGCTGTTTCCAGGTGCAAGGCCACTATGCAGGGCCTGGAGATGAGACCTGCCTGCGGAGAAGCCAGCCAGTATGTCATCTTAGCCCTCCCTGAACCTCACAGCTGGGACCAACATGAAGCTGCACATGGGATAGAGGAAAAAAATTCTGCAAAGCCACTGGGTCCAGCTGGAAACTCACCAGCTTTGAGGACACGCGCCAGTGAGGGGGGAGGTGCTGGGCCGGGGGGGGGGGGGGGGGTGGGAAGGATGCTTGTGCACAGCATATCCCACTCTCCTTTGGGCTGGTGTACCTTTTCCCACCACAACTCCTCGAAGAGTTAATGACACGCCTAGCAGGAAGGCAGCAAGTTTAGCAGTGCATGTTCACATGCCATCACACCGCCGCCAGCACCAGCAGGGCCAGGAGAGGGCGGAGCATCTCCCCAGTGCACAAATCCAGCCCTCCTCTCCAGAGGTGGCTCCGTTTTCCTCCGTTGTTGCCAGACTCCCTTCCTGAGCCTAGTCTCTTTGGTTCCTCCAGTGGAGGTTGCATAATTGTGAAAGCACATATAGAAAGGCAGACAGGAACATTGGAGAGGGCTTAAGCGATCAATGGGGGGGGGGGAAGGGTGTAAGTACCTATAAATTCTTTTTGGAATTATTGCCTGATATTCTGGCCTATTTTGTAAGATGGATATAGGCCATTGGCTATTTTAAGTTTTAGTTGCATGTGGTAGTAAAAAAACCCTCTCTTGAATTTGGGTCTGACAAATTTAGAGATCTTTTTTAGGTGCATGACTAGGTCACAGCTGAGCATCTCTAAATTAACCCCCATGAAAAGCTGAAGGCACAGGGAGGGCAATCAAAGCCCTAGCCTGTCTTTCTGGGGCTCTCCGCGCCGGCAGAGGGGACGCTAATTCCCCGGCACGCAGAGGATGAAACCGGACCGGTGCTTGGTGAAATCTGGCTGGGATTGGTTGATCTTTGTTTCCACGGAGACGGTGCATTTCCGCCCATGCAGGCTGCACTGGACCGGGTTGGTGACGCTGACTTGCAGAGAGCGTTTCTCACTGCGGGGGAGGGGGGGGGGAAAAGGAAGAACAAGAATGTTAGGAGAGATGACGGGGATGGGCGACATGACCTCCCCGGAGCCACTCAGGATGCAGTTACAGGTTGCCCCTGTGCAAAACCACCTCTATCTCCAAAAATTTAGAATAACGACAATGACTTCCCTCATTCTTTGTTTGCAGATTTAAAGTTAAACCTGAAATAGCTAAAAAAAATCTTATAGGGAGTTATTCTGTTTGTGCCATGCTGAGGGAGTTCCCTCCGTGGATGGATGGACAGCCTGCTGGCCGCAGGCTAGGCACCCACGCTGGGACTAAACTGCATTGCTGCAGCTCGCTTGCCGGCTTTTTAACCCTTTGCCCAGCTTTGATACTAAAAGCGAT